GAGGCCAGCCGGGACTGAGGGAGAGACCAGGGAGGGAGGGAGGGAGGGAGACCGGGCCATGGACTCAGAGGCTAGCCGGGACTGAGAGAGAGATCAGGAGGAGGAGGGAGGGAGGGAGGGAGGGGAGGGAGGGGGGGGGGGGGAGAGAGAGAGTCCCTGCCAAGGATTCTGAGGCCAGCAGGGACTGAGAGAGACCAGGGAGAAGGGGAAAGACCAGAGAGCAAGAGAGAGGCCATTGAAGATTAGACTAAGGCCAACAGGGGGCACTGAAGACTAAGACAGAGCCCAGAGGGAGCCCAGAGGGAGCCCAGAGGGAGCCCAGAGGGAGCCCAGAGGGAGCCCAGAGGGAGCCCAGAGGGAGCCCAGAGGGAGCCCAGAGGGAGCCCAGAGGGAGCCCAGAGGGAGCCCAGAGGGAGCCCAGAGGGAGCCCAGAGGGAGCCCAGAGGGAGCCCAGAGGGAGCCCAGAGGGAGCCCAGAGGGAGCCCAGAGGGAGCCCAGAGGGAGCCCAGTCGGAGCCCAGTCGGAGCCCAGTCGGAGCCCAGTCGGAGCCCAGTCGGAGCCCAGTCGGAGCCCAGTCGGAGCCCAGTCGGAGCCCAGTCCATCTGCGGCTTGGCCAAAAAAATCACCCACAAAAAAAAACCTTTTTGCTGTCTGACTGAAGCACCATTAGCCTAAACGGTTCATTGTCTTTCAGCCAACTTCAGCTCCGTCCAATGAGAACGAGTATATGAATGCTAGTTTCAAACTAGTCTCTGTAGAGTCCATGGGCGGGAAAAGTGTTTTTAAGAAAACAGCCTTTAAATATGTTTTGGAATATCACACCACGCCATGTTAGATTTGACCTGAACATCTTTGTGTTGTCACTGATCCTGATGCATATGTTTTATACACCGCCTTTTGGACACGAAAGACATGTCATTATTGTAGCCACAGCTGCCCTGGGGCACACAGCTGCAGGTGGCGCCACAGCTGTCTCCCACTAGAGGGCAGTGTTGATCTGTTATTTTGCTCTGTTTGAAGTCTTCGTAATGTAATCCCAAAATGATGCATAATGTAAGGTCTCTCTCTCTAGTCTCTCCTTCTGCTCTCTCTCTGGTCTCTCCTTCTGCTCTCTCTCTGGTCTCTCCTTCTGCTCTCTCTCTGGTCTCTCCTTCTGCTCTCTCTCTGGTCTCTCCTTCTGCTCTCTCTCTGGTCTCTCCTTCTGCTCTCTCTCTGGTCTCTCCTTCTGCTCTCTCTCTGGTCTCTCCTTCTGCTCTCTTTCTGGTCTCTCCCTTGTCTCTCTCTCTGCTCTCTCTCTCAGGTCTCTCTCTTTGCTCTCTCGCTCTGGTCTCTCTTTGCTCTCCCTCTGCTCTCCCCCTCTCTGGTCTCTCTCTCTCTTTGCTCTCTCGCTCTGGTCTCTTTGCTCTCCCTCTGCTCTCTCTCTTTGCTCCCTCTCTCTCTTTGCTCCCTCGCTCTGGTCTCTCTCTTTGCTCTCTCGCTCTGGTCTCTCTTTGCTCTCCCTCTGCTCTCTCTCTTTGCTCCCTCTCTCTCTTTGCTCCCTCGCTCTGGTCTCTCTCTTTGCTCTCTCGCTCTGGTCTCTCTTTGCTCCCTCGCTCTGGTCTCTCTCTTTGCTCCCTCGCTCTGGTCTCTCTCTTTGCTCTCTCGCTCTGGTCTCTCTTTGCTCTCCTTCTGCTCTCTCTCTCTTTGCTCCCTCTCTCTGCTCTCTCTCCCTCTCTCTTTGCTCCCTCTCTTTGGTCTCCCTCTCTGCTCTCTCTCTCTTTGCTCTCTCTCTCAGGTCTCTCTCTCTCTTTGCTCTCTCGCTCTGGTCTCTCTCTTTTTCCGTTCCCAGTTTGACAGTTGTTCACATGTTCATGCTTGTTGTAAATGCTGCATTTTGTACAGTTTTTACTCTTTTATCTGAACCTCGTTAAAAACAGAATGAATGCAATACACCTCATTTAGAAGCAGCTGGTTTTCCGGGACGTGGATCCGTTCTTTTCTCTCCCTGTGGAACTTGGAATCAGGAGCCAAAGAATCCAACATGAGCAGCACTTTGAGGTTCTGGACGTGCTTTTTGTAACTTTCTTTTGGATCATTGCTTCATGTTTGAGCTCAGTGTTTGTTCAGGACCATTTTGATGGTTTCATGAAAAAAAACTTATGTAAAGTATTTTCTTTTTGTAAATATAAGGAATTCTTGTGGATTGTGTCTTGTCTTGTTTCAAAAACTGCAAACTCTGTCAAAGCTCTTGATTTACCAGTCAATCTACATCACCATCAACATGGTCTCTGGTCTAGTCTCTTTCTGGTCTCTCTCACTAGTCCCTCTCTAGTATTTAGTCTTTCTGGTCTGGTCTCTCTCTGGTCCAGTCTCTTACTGGTCTCTTGCTAGTCTCTCTCTCTGGTCTAGTCTCACTGATCTCTCGCTAGTCTCTCACTGGTCTCTCTGGTATCTAGTCTCTCTCTGGTCTAGTCTCACTTGTCTCTATTTTCTCTCTGGTCTCTCTCTGGTCTCTCTGGTCTTGCACTAGTCTCTGGTCTCTCTCTCTGGTCTTTCTCCTGTCTCTCACTGGTCTCTGGTTTCTCGCACTAGTCTCTGGTCTCGCACTAGTCTCTGGTCTCGCACTAGTCTCTGGTCTCGCACTAGTCTCTGGTCTCGCACTAGTCTCTGGTCTTGCACTAGTCTCTGGTCTTGCACTAGTCTCTGGTCTCTCTCACTGGTCTCTGAGAGTCTCTAGTCTGTTTTTTGTCTGGTTAAAATGAACAGAAAATATTCACAAAAACAAGTTCAAACTCGTTTAATTCACAATATGTTACACCGGAGAAATAATACAGCAGTTTTTAAATATGAAAAATCGTTTTGTTTTGTTCTCACCGAGTGCTAATGCTAAAGCTAATGCTAATGCCGATGCTAATGCTAATGCTAATGCTACTCCACACACACCGCCGCAGTGCTGTCCACGGAAAAACAGTCGATCCCAAAGCAAAATCAAACCGTATATAAACAGTAGAGGACAATATAAAGTGCATGGAGAAAAATAAAGCCTTAAATTAAAACAAAACAAACAAATATGAGCCGCTGGTGACTGTAAACTGGGACTGTTTAGCTGGAAATAGATTATTATGGTGTTGTTATTCCGAAGTCAGAGGTGGGAAAAGGCACAGCAGCCCAGCAACTTTTCATATGATTCTTATTTTGGACAAAAAATAATAATCACATCATTCTTTTTTAAATGTCATGTTTTTGGTGAGACGGTTTTAAAGCCATTGTACAAGGAAGGTATCTGCACTAAGTCTCTGTTGCTCTATGGTATTTCTCAGGTCTCTCTCGCTGGTCGCTCTCTATGTCTCTTTCTGCTCTGTCCTCTTTCTGGTCTTCTCTCTCTCTGGTCTCTCTCTGATCTCTCTCTAATCTCTCTCTAATCTCTCTCTAATCTCTCTGTAGTCTCTCTCTCTGATCTGTCTCTGGTCTCTCTCTCTCTGATCTCTCTCTGGTCTCTCTCTGGTCTCTCTCTGGTCTCTCTCTGGTCTCTCTCTGGTCTCTCTCTGGTCTCTCTCTGATCTCTCTCTGATCTCTCTCTGATCTCTCTCTGATCTCTCTCTGATCTCTCTCTGGTCTCTCTCTCTGGTCTCTCTCTGATCTCTCTGTAGTCTCTCTCTCTGATCTCTCTCTGGTCTCTCTGTAGTCTCTCTCTCTGGTCTCTCTCTGATCTCTCTCTCGTCCAAAATGTTGTTTTTGTTCTTAAACTTCTCACTGAAATAAAACAGACATATCAAACCAAGTCTTATTCAGAAACGTGACTAAAAACCAGCGTGAAATTTTACTCAGTTTGATCCATTTAGACTTTAAACAAACAGGACATCGACAATCTCGACAGAAATATCACATTAAGGTCGATATTTGTCCCGGAGCCCTTGTCCCAGTTGCTATGGGCGACGGTGGACACATGTGAGTAAAGGGTGGAGCAGCCAATGGCCATTGCTGTTGGTTTTACTCAGAGATTCTGCCAAAAACATGAAATAAATGCTTTTAAATTGTTGCTACGTTCTGACACTGGTGCAGATTATTGCTGTGGTCGCGGAGGGACACAGTGCTTTGGAGAAAAGAAGCTGGTTCATAGAAAACGGTCGTCATGACGATTGATAATACTATAGTTTCAGTCTGTCGCACTGGTCAGTCTTTCAGAAACACTGGTATTACACTCTCCCTGGTATTTTAAGTGTTAATGTCATGAGTATTTGATTTATATGGTTTTTTGATCATTGTTTTTACAACTTTAAAACTTTTTTTCCCATGGTCTGGTTTCTGAGCTCACTTTTAAGGCCATTACACAAAGTAGCCACAAGAGGGCGGTAGTGTATCTGAAAGACTGGCCAGGCATCCAGCTTCTACACGTTCATCATCTCTGCAGAACTCTGTAGAACTCTGTAGAACTCTGTAGAACTCTGCAGAACTCTGCAGAACTCTGCAGAACTCTGCAGAACTCTGTAGAACTCTGTAGAACTCTGTAGAACTCTGCAGAACTCTGCAGAACTCTGCAGAACTCTGTAGAACTCTGTAGAACTCTGTAGAACTCTGTAGAACTCTGCAGAACTCTGCAGAACTCTGTAGAACTCTGTAGAACTCTGTAGAACTCTGCAGAACTCTGCAGAACTCTGTAGAGCACTTATTGTAATGTAGAAAACACTTTTGTCCCTTTTGTTGAAACAAGTCAAAGTCATTTATTTAAGAAATTCATCTTCAGAGACGCTTCAGCAAACTCTGCTCTGATTGGTCAGAACGCTCACATGTCTCTCTCTGGTCTCCCCCTGGTCTCCCCCAGGTCTCCTCCTGGTCTCTCTCTGGTCTCTCTCTGGTCTCTCTCTGGTCTCTCTCTCTGGTCTCTCTCTCTCTCTCTGGTCTCTCTCTGGTCTCTCTCTGGTCCCTCTCTGGCCCCTCTCTGGTCTGTAGAGCACTTATAGTAAAGTAGAAAACAGTCTTAGTTGAAACAGATGCTACTATGTACAGGCGGCGGGCCGTCGTTAGGACCGGGTCTGTCCCGTGTTGATCATGATGTTGGGGAGAGCGTTCCTCCTCTTCCTCCACGTTCCCAAATCCCTGGCGTAGCGTTTGATCTGATGGAACCACTGTTGCGTCCGCGACTTCTCCGAGGCGCGGAACACGAACGCCTCTCGCTTTATGTCCAGGATCTCGAAGGTGTCCTCGCACTCGGGGTCCGTGGAGACCACGCAGTTCCCGAGCTGGATGGGCTCTCGCAGCACCGAGAACTTGCCGCTGCTTTTGTCTTTGATCAGGACCAGGACGCCGTCTTTCACGGAGTCGGCGCCGCGGTCCTCGCCGTCCCGCACCGTGCGCACCATCAGCAGACTCTGCACGTTCTGGAACTTGAGGGCGCGGCTGCCCTTCCGCACCCACTGTCCGTCCGCGGGCTGCGACAGCTGCAGCGGCCCCTCCATCACGAAGCGCGTGTGCTCGCGGGACCAGCCCACCGTCTTCATTGACACCTCGCGCATCTCGATGTTGATGACCTCGCGGTTCTTACGGCTGTCTCTGCGGAAGGAGCGCAGGGACCAGGACACGGCCTCCTGGCGGGTCTTCATGTTGATGTGCTCCAGGTGCGACTCCACCTTGGCCTTGGCGTCGCAGAGGCGGCTGAAGTCTGCGTGCAGCTCCGAAGTGACTTTGAGGATGCGGCTCAGCAGCAGCGGGTACTTCGTGACGCGCTGCAGCGGCGCCATCAGGAACGAGCGCAGGTTCATGCGGCGCAGCGCCGTGTTGTCGTTCTGAGACACGTCCAGAAAGATCCTGCAGAAACAGAACACAGCAGTTCAGAGAATCTACTTCAATTCAATTTACTTTTGTATCTCCCTACACCTGCATAGGTTTCCTCCAGGTGCTCCAGTCTGGCATGTGCCTCCTGTGTTTGGATTAAGAATAACTCTTGCTGTTGTTCGGATAGGGTCAGATAGATATATACAGTGCCTTATGAAAGTATTCGGCCCCCTTGAACCTTTCAACATTTTGCCACATTTCAGGCTTCAAACAATTATCTGCAGTTCATCCAGAGTGATCATGGGCCTCTTGGCTGCATCTCTGATCAGTCTTCTCCTTGTTTGGGATGAAAGTTTGGAGGGACGGCCGGGTCTTGGTAGATCTGCAGTGGTCTGATACTCCTTCCATTTCAATATAATTGCTTGCACAGTGCTCCTTGAGATGTTTAAAGCTTGGGAAATCTTTTTGTATCCAAATCCGGCTCTACAGCCTCAGTCCTGGATCTACAGCCTCAGTCCTGGATCTACAGCCTCAGTCCTGTGTGTCTGTGAAGATCTCTCACAGTTTTTGATTCTCTGATCTGTTGTTTGTGAATCACAAGAACAGAACAGACGTTGACAGATCAGAACCATAGACAGTATATATTAATGGACAGAGTCACGCCTATCTCCGCCGTTCTAACTAATGGGCCAAAAAATGCCGCGAGTGGTCCCGCCCACAAGAAAATGGTGAAAATATGCATCTGCGCATGAGTCAGCCGCTCCATTCATTTGAACGAGAGACTTCAAAAATCCACAGCGACTAAACTAGAGTGGACCAGAACACTCCCTCAGCATTGACACATGTGGAACGGAGCTTTGGGCCAAGAGACAACTTTTGGTCCATCCTGTAAAGACGTTTTTGAGAGGTCTGCTAATGCTATATGTTAGCATTGAATAATTCTACTTCTGGGTCCACCCCCATCGGCCCGGGTGGTACTGCAGCATGTCAGCGCACGTCATTTTGGCCACTTTTGAGCCGGGACCTGCCCCCACTGGTCTGAACAGACGATGACAGAACAGAGCAGACGATGACAGACCAGAACAGACGATGACAGACCAGAGCAGACGATGACAGACCAGAACAGACGATGACAGACCAGAGCAGACGATGACAGACCAGAACAGACGATGACAGACCATAACAGACGATGACAGACCATAACAGACGATGACAGACCAGAACAGACGATGACAGACCATAACAGACGATGACAGACCATAACAGACGATGACAGACCAGAACAGACGATGACAGACCATAACAGACGATGACAGACCAGAACAGACGATGACAGACCAGAACAGACGATGACAGACCAGAGCAGACGATGACAGACCAGAACAGACGATGACAGACCAGAACAGACGATGACAGACCATAACAGACGATGACAGACCAGAACAGACGATGACAGACCATAACAGACGATGACAGACCAGAACAGATGATGACAGACCAGAACAGATGATGACAGACCATAACAGACGATGACAGACCAGAACAGACGATGACAGACCATAACAGACGATGACAGACCAGAACAGACGATGACAGACCATAACAGACGATGACAGACCATAACAGACGATGACAGACCAGAACAGACGATGACAGACCAGAACAGATGATGACAGACCATAACAGACGATGACAGACCAGAACAGACGATGACAGACCAGAACAGACGATGACAGACCATAACAGACGATGACAGACCAGAACAGACGATGACAGACCAGAACAGACGATGACAGACCAGAACAGACGATGACAGACCAGAACAGATGATGACAGACCATAACAGACGATGACAGACCAGAACAGACGATGACAGAACAGAGCAGACGATGACAGAACAGAGCAGACGATGACAGACCAGAACAGACGATGACAGACCAGAACAGACGATGACAGACCAGAACAGACGATGACAGACCATAACAGACGATGACAGACCAGAACAGACAATGACAGACCAGAACAGACGATGACAGAACAGAACAGACAATGACAGACCAGAACAGACGATGACAGAACAGAGCAGACGATGACAGAACAGAGCAGACGATGACAGACCATAACAGACGATGACAGACCAGAACAGACGATGACAGACCATAACAGACGATGACAGACCATAACAGACGATGACAGACCAGAACAGACGATGACAGACCAGAACAGATGATGACAGACCATAACAGACGATGACAGACCAGAACAGACGATGACAGACCAGAACAGACGATGACAGACCATAACAGACGATGACAGACCAGAACAGACGATGACAGACCAGAACAGACGATGACAGACCAGAACAGACGATGACAGACCAGAACAGATGATGACAGACCATAACAGACGATGACAGACCAGAACAGACGATGACAGAACAGAGCAGACGATGACAGAACAGAGCAGACGATGACAGACCAGAACAGACGATGACAGACCAGAACAGACGATGACAGACCAGAACAGACGATGACAGACCATAACAGACGATGACAGACCAGAACAGACAATGACAGACCAGAACAGACGATGACAGAACAGAACAGACAATGACAGACCAGAACAGACGATGACAGAACAGAGCAGACGATGACAGAACAGAGCAGACGATGACAGAACAGAGCAGACGATGACAGAACAGAGCAGACGATGACAGACCATAACAGACGATGACAGACCAGAGCAGACGATGACAGACCAGAACAGACGATGACAGACCAGAACAGACTATGACAGACCAGAACAGACGATGACAGATCAGTGAGAGGGGCTCGTACCGCAGCAGCTCCTTCTCCTTCTCCAGTGCGTTGAGGAGGTTGACAGAGGACGACTGTTGGAGGCAGTAGGTCTGAAACGCCGGCAGCATGTTCACAAACTCCAGGAAGATCTCCCCGATGTGCACCGTGAGCAGGTCCTCGTCCCCCTGAGGAACAACGCCATCATGTGGTTAAGGACAGTAACACTAGGCTCTTTATGTGGAACACAATGGTTTACAATGTGACCTGGTCAAAGGCCTGGATTCTGCTACAGTAGCTACATTAGCTATATTAGCTACAGACCTGGTCGAAGGCCTGGATTCTGCTAAATTAGCTACATTAGCTATATTAGCTACAGACCTGGTCGAAGGCCTGGAATCTGCTACAGTAGCTACATTAGCTACAGACCTGGGCAAAGGCCTGGATTCTGCTACATTAGCTACATTAGCTACAGACCTGGGCAAAGGCCTGGATTCTGCTACATTAGCTACATTAGCTACAGACCTGGGCAAAGGCCTGGATTCTGCTACATTAGCTACATTAGCTACAGACCTGGGCAAAGGCCTGGATTCTGCAACATTAGTTACATCAGCTACATTAGCTACAGACCTGGTCAAAGGCCCGGTCGATGACCTCCTGCAGCGTCTCCGTGAACCTCTCGTTGACGTCGATGAGCTCCTGGACGTTGGCGAAGACCACGGTGAGCTGCTCGGCCGTCAGCAGCGCGGCGCTCTGCATGGGGCAGTAGAACTCCTCCTTGATGATGCGCAGGTCTTCTCCGTAGCTGGACTCGGTGTTGAGGAACTCCAGGATGGCCTCCTTCCTCTCCGTGCGCAGCTTGGAGCAGCGCTCGCACATGCGTTCGCCACGCTCCTGGGCGTCGCTGGCGCCGCAGTCGGGACACGGGCGCAGAGGCACCACAGGTCGCCTCCAGCCTCGGGACAAACCAGGACCGAGGCCGCTGTCCGTACGTTCCACCTGCAACGGCACACAGTGAGCAGCTTCAGGGACAGACTGATCCACCCAGGCTGTGTGAGAGGTTCAGAGCTGCGACAACTGAACAGAAAAACCCTTTTAGTGGATCACTTTTGACTCTCTATAATAAATACTTTAAGATTGGACTGAAATCTTCCTCACTGCGGCGTCTCACTTGGTTTGAGGCACTTAGACCATAAAGTGCATCTACACCAATGTGAAATAATATCACTAATATAAGTAGAAAATACTTTTCCGTGAAGTCTCCCAATTTTTACCTCTGCTCCTCCTCCCCTCCTGGTCCTGCAGGGGGCGCCCTCCTCCTCCTCGCGGTCATCACTCAGTCCCACCACTCCGCTGTCTGCGCTCAGACTGCTGATGGTGCTCCAGCGATGAGCCGAGCCGCAGGAGCCCACAGGACGCTCCTCTGAGGGAGGCTCTGAGCGGCCTCTCAGGGCGGCGGGGGCTGGAGGAGAGAGGAGACGTGTGAGTACGGTAGAGTACAGTAGAGTACAGTTGAGCGCAGTAGAGTACAGTAGAGCACAGTAGAGTACAGTAGAGCACAGTAGAGTACAGTAGAGTACAGTAGAGCATAGTAGAGTACAGCAGAGCGCAGTAGAGCACAGTAGAGTACAGTAGAGCGCAGTAGAGCACAGTAGAGCACAGTAGAGTACAGTAGAGTACAGTAGAGCATAGTAGAGTACAGTAGAGCACAGTAGAGCACAGTAGAGTACAGTAGAGTACAGTAAAGCACAGTAGAGTACAGTAGAGTACAGTAGAGCGCAGTAGAGCACAGTAGAGTACAGTAGAGCACAGTAGAGTACAGTTAATCACAGTCCAGTAGAGTACAGTAGAGCACAGTACAGCACAGTAGAGCGCAGTAGAGCGCAGTAGAGCACAGTAGAGCGCAGTAGAGCACAGTAGAGCACAGTAGAGTACAGTAGAGCACAGTAGAGTACAGTAGAGCACAGTAGAGTACAGTAGAGTACAGTAGAGCACAGTAGAGCACAGTAGAGTACAGTAGAGTACAGTAGAGTACAGTAGAGTGCAGTAGAGCGCAGTAGAGCACAGTAGAGTACAGTAGAGCACAGTAGAGTACAGTACAGCACAGTAGAGCACAGTAGAGTACAGTACAGCACAGTAGAGCACAGTAGAGTACAGTAGAGCGCAGTAGAGCACAGTAGAGTACAGTAGAGCACAGTAGAGCACAGTAGAGTACAGTACAGCACAGTAGAGCACAGTAGAGTACAGTACAGCAGAGTAGAGCACAGTAGAGTACAGTAGAGCGCAGTAGAGCGCAGTAGAGCACAGTAGAGTACAGTAGAGCACAGTAGAGTACAGTAGAGCACAGTAGAGCACAGTAGAGCACAGTAGAGCACAGTACAGCACAGTAGAGTACAGTACAGCACAGTAGAGTACAGTAGAGCACAGTAGAGTACAGTAGAGCACAGTAGAGTACAGTAGAGCACAGTAGAGCACAGTACAGTAGAGCACAGTAGAGCACAGTAGAGCACAGTAGAGCACAGTAGAGCACAGTAGAGTACAGTACAGCACAGTAGAGTACAGTAGAGCACAGTAGAGCACAGTAGAGCACAGTAGAGCACAGTACAGCACAGTAGAGTACAGTACAGCACAGTAGAGCACAGTAGAGTACAGTAGAGTACAGTAGAGCACAGTAGAGTACAGTAGAGTACAGTAGAGCACAGTAGAGCACAGTAGAGCACAGTACAGCACAGTAGAGTACAGTACAGCACAGTAGAGTACAGTAGAGCACAGTAGAGCACAGTAGAGTACAGTAGAGCACAGTAGAGCACAGTAGAGCACAGTAGAGCACAGTAGAGTACAGTAGAGCACAGTAGAGCACAGTAGAGTACAGTAGAGCACAGTAGAGCACAGTAGAGTACAGTACAGCACAGTAGAGCACAGTAGAGTACAGTACAGCAGAGTAGAGCACAGTAGAGTACAGTAGAGCGCAGTAGAGCGCAGTAGAGCACAGTAGAGTACAGTAGAGCACAGTAGAGTACAGTAGAGCACAGTAGAGCACAGTAGAGCACAGTACAGCACAGTAGAGTACAGTACAGCACAGTAGAGTACAGTAGAGCACAGTAGAGCACAGTAGAGTACAGTAGAGCACAGTAGAGCACAGTAGAGTACAGTAGAGCACAGTACAGTAGAGCACAGTAGAGCACAGTAGAGCACAGTAGAGCACAGTAGAGCACAGTACAGCACAGTAGAGTACAGTACAGCACAGTAGAGTACAGTAGAGCACAGTAGAGCACAGTACAGCACAGTAGAGCACAGTACAGCACAGTAGAGTACAGTACAGCACAGTAGAGCACAGTAGAGTACAGTAGAGCACAGTACAGTAGAGCACAGTAGAGTACAGTAGAGTACAGTAGAGCACAGTAGAGCACAGTAGAGCACAGTACAGCACAGTAGAGTACAGTACAGCACAGTAGAGTACAGTAGAGCACAGTAGAGCACAGTAGAGCACAGTAGAGTACAGTACAGCACAGTAGAGCACAGTAGAGAACAGTAGAGCACAGTAGAGTACAGTAGAGTACAGTAGAGCACAGTAGAGCACAGTAGAGCACAGTACAGCACAGTAGAGTACAGTACAGCACAGTAGAGTACAGTAGAGCACAGTAGAGCACAGTAGAGCACAGTAGAGTACAGTACAGCACAGTAGAGCACAGTAGAGAACAGTAGAGCACAGTAGAGTCTCACCGCTGTCCCTCTCCTTGCGGTGCAGTCTGGCGGCAGCGGCGACCCTCATGTGCAGCTGTTGGCGGCGGCTGGGGTCAGAGGGCATGGGGTCACTGTGGTGAGGCCTGAGGCGACAGGGGCCCCGCTCCTGGAGCCCCGCGTCCGAGCTGGAGCGACGGAGGCCCCCAGTCACCGAGGACGACACCTGCAGGGAGGAGTCTGTGAGCACCGAGGACTGATGGACAACTCTGTATTTCAATTTCATTTTTTTTGTTTTAGCCTCAAATTTCAACAGCAGTTATATCTCAGAGGAAGTGTCGATTCAACAACACAGATCAGAGAATCAAACTGTTCATTCACACAGAGTAGAGTACATTAGAGTAGATTAGAGTACAGTACTTTAGAGTAGAGTACAGGACAGTACATTAGAGTAGAGTACAGTACAGTACATTAGAGTACAGTACAGTACATTAGAGTACAGTACAGTACATTAGAGTAGAGTAGAGTACATTAGAGTAGAGTAGAGTACAGCAGCAGCCACGGCTAGGCTAGCCCAGGCTACAACACCAAAGATTCGTGGATTACACACCAAGTGAGTAAACCAAACCAGACAAACAGCCTAACTATATGCTGAATTAAAGTAAAGTGCTTTAAGCCTGGCCTTGAATGTAGAGACCGTATCTGCTACATAAATGAAGCTGATTCCACAGTAAAGGAGCTTGGTAGCTAAATGCTCTGCCACCAACAGTGACCTTTGAGACCTTAGGGACCACCAGACGTCTGGCGTTTTGTGAGCGCAACGCTCGACCTGGTTGATACGACACTAACGTGTCTTGGAGATAAGAAGGAGCCAAGCCATTTATGGCTTTATATGTTAAGAGAAGGATTTTAAACTTTATTCTGTACTCCACAGGGAGCCAGTGGAGTGATTTTAACACCGGAGTTATGTGCTCCCTCCTTTTGGTATCTGTTAAGATCCTTGCTGCTGTATTCTGAACCAGCTGGAAGCTCTTCAAAGACGCTTTAGGGCACGCTGCCAGTAAAGCGTTACAGTAGTCGAGCCTTGAGGTGACAAACGCGTGGATACGTTTTTCCGCGTCACTTTTAGGAAGGAAATTTCTGATTTTAGCGATGTTCCGTAAGTGGAAGTATGCCTAGAGTAGAGTGAGTAGCGTATAGTATGGGTCTACAGCCTCAGTCCTGGGTCTACAGCCTCAGTCCTGGGTCTACAGCCTCAGTCCTGGGTCTACAGCCTCAGTCCTGGGTCTACAGCCTCAGTCCTAGATCTACAGCTTCAGTCCTGGATCTACAGCCTCAGTCCTGGGTCTACAGCCTCAGTCCTGGATCTACAGCCTCAGTCCTGGGTCTACAGCCTCAGTCCTAGATCTACAGCTTCAGTCCTGGGTCTACAGCCTCAGTCCTAGATCTACAGCTTCAGTCCTGGGTCTACAGCCTCAGTCCTGGCTCTACAACAGCCTCAGCTTTTTCCTGTGTGTGAGACAGAGAAGCCATAATCTTGCTCTCTCTCCACTCAAATCCATCTGAGAAGCTGCAAAACTTAGCTGCTGGGCGCATTTACAACCAATGTTACACAAAGACAAGAGTATCAGACCAAAACATGTATCATTTCCTTTTGCTGCAACTGTTTTTTTAACGTTACACACCACTGCAAAGCCAGTCCCCATAACTCACGTTTATCCATGATTAAGACTCTTAGCACAAGCCAAACCTATCGTATGAAGTCCATTGAGACATGCTAGCTTATCCCCAGTCATACGAGCTGTCCGTCCATCCAAATACATCTGAACGACTGCGTAAATTAGCCGCTGTACGCATTTACAATCACCGTTAAACAACCACAAGACTATATCATGTGTCATTTCTCTATAGCTGAAAGTGTTTTGACGTGAAAAACACTGCAATGTCAAGCACCAGACCTGATTTTGAGATTCTGAGCACGAGCCAAACCGATCGTACCAACTCCATACAGTCATGCTAGCTTCTCCTCAGTCATACAAGCTGAGGAGCCAATCAAACACACCTGAATGAAGTATATTGTGGCACATAGACTGACACAGAGAGGCTATATAAGCTCTCTATCCACTCAAATCCATCTGAGAAGCTGCAAAACGAAGCCATTCAAGAACATTTCAGGCTATGATGTGTTTCTCCACACTGCAGCCTGAGAAACGCTGCACCAGAACTCATTTGAGATTCTTAGCACAAGCCAAACCAATTGTATCAACTCCATACAGTCATGCTAGCTTCTCCCCAGTCATACATTTGAATGACAGCAAAAAGCACAAGCCAAACGGTAAACTGTATCACACAGACTGACACAGGAAAGCCATGCAAGCTCTCTCTCCTTTCAAAGACATGAAAGGAGAGAAAAACTCTCACCCAATGTTACGTGTATCATTTCATTGCACAAGCCAAACAGATTGTACCGGATCTATACGGACATGCTAGCTTTTCCCCCGGTCGTACAAGCTGTCCATTCAAATACGTCTGAATGAAGCCAGACCCAGCCAAAGAGTGTATTGTATCACGTAGACTGACACAGGGAAGCCATGCAAGCTCTCTCTCTCTCCATTCAAATCCACCTGAGAAGCTGCAAAAATGATGCCATTCGAGAACACACAGAACCAGAATGTATGGAGTTTGCTTCTGAAACTGGAAAACGCCGCAGCGAAATGGGCCTAAAACGTTCCAGGTTTGAGATTCTCAGCACATGCATTAAACCCAGCATTAAATATTGAACAACACACACACATTCCTTCATCCCTTCATCTTCCCCCTCGCACCAGCCAAGCACCTTCACCCACCATCCACCGCAGAATCCCGACCGGAAAGTCCTCTACCGTAAGCTAGCAGCATCTATCCTTCCCAATATCTGTGTCTTTCTTGTTCTATATCTCTTATCTGATCGCAAAGAAATCAGCAAATGTCTTTCCCGAACACTTACACATGCCTCCTGCTCGGCTCGCAGCGGTCTCGTCGTTGCAGACTCGTCTCCCGTGCTCTCGCTGGTTGCCAAGGCGACGGGAGGCTGGGAGGCGGGGCCGTGGTCCTGGTCGAGGCTCCTGTGGCGTCTGTCGGGGGATAAGGGCACGGCGGATTCGCAGGGGGAGATCTCGGCGCTGCAGCTGGAGGAGAGGGAGACGGGAGAGAGGGGGGAGAGAGAGAGGGGAAAGAGGGGGGAGAGAGAGAGGGGGGAGAGGACAGAGAGAAGAAAGGGGGAGACATGTGTGAGACGGTGGTGGTGCAATAGTCATTTAGTGGTGTCCAGAAAAGTTACTGTCATATAAACAATTTAGGTCTCTCTCTCTCTCTCTCTCTAGGTCTGTCTCTCTCTCTATGTCTGCCTCTCTCTATCCGTCTCTCTCTCTCTATGTCTGTCGCTCTCTCTCTGCCTGTCTCTCTCTCTCTCTCTGTCTGTCTCTCTCTCTGTCTCTCTCTCTCTCTCTCTCTCTCTATGTCTGTCTCTCTCTCTATGTTTGTCTGTATCTCTCTATGTCTGTCTCTCTCTCTCTATGTCTCTGTCTGTCTCTCTCTCTCTCTCTGTCAGTCTCTATCTCTCTATGTCTGTCTCTCTCTCTCTGTCTCTCTCTCTCTCTGTCTGTCTCTCTCTCTCTCTGTCAGTCTCTCTCTATGTCTGTCTCTCTCTCTCTCTGTCAGTCTCTCTCTATGTCTGTCTCTCTCTCTCTGTCTGTCTCTCTCTATGTCAGTCTCTCTCTCTCTCTATGTCCGTCTCTCTCTCTCTCTCTCTATGTCTGTCTCTCTCTCTGTTTGTCTGTCTCTCTCTCTCTCTCTATGTCTGTCTCTCTCTCTGTTTGTCTGTGTCTCTCTCTCAGTCTGTCTGTCTCTCTCTCTCTCTCTATGTCTGTCTCTCTCTCTTTATGTCTGTCTGTCTCTCTGTCTGTATGTCTCTCTCTCTCTATGTCAGTCTCTCTCTCTCTGTCTCTCTCTCTCTCTCAGTCTCTCTCTCTCTCTCTCTCTCTGTATGTCTGTCTCTCTCTATGTCTGTCTCTCTCTCTCTGTCAGTCTCTCTCTCTCTCTCTCTCTCTCTGTCTGTCTCTCTCTCTCTGTATGTCTGTCTCTCTTCCTCTATGTCAGTCTCTCTCTCTGTCTGTCTCTCTCTCTATGTCAGTCTCTCTCTCTCTATGTCTGTCTTTCTCTCTCTCTGTATGTCTGTCTCTCTCTCTATGTCTCTCTCTCTATGTTAGTCTCTCTCTCTCTGTCGGTCTCTCTCTCTCTCTCTCTGTCAGTCTCTCTCTCTCTGTCAGTCTCTCTCTCTATGTCAGTCTCTCTCTATATGTCAGTCTCTCTCTCTCTGTCAGTCTCTCTCTCTATGTCAGTCTCTCTCTCTATGTCAGTCTCTCTCTCTCTGTCTGTCTCTCTCTCTCTGTCTCTCTCTCTCGCCCCTTTAACTATCACTGTATAAAGTGCTACGTTCTGCTTTTATCAGGTCCAATCAGCAGAGAGCAGAGAAGTGTCCGATCATCAGAACAGCACTTTTTACTACACGCTTAAAGAGACTATCTGTCTAATCTCTCAGCGGTCTCGTCGTTGCAGACTCGAGACTGCTGCGAGTAATTAAGTCATGTTTATAGATATAGCGCATGTTACAGACCAAGGTCAGACCCAAAGCGCCGCTACAATGTTCGAAAATCACACATTGGACCAACCAACACCCTCCATTCACTGATTACATTCAGACCTACATGTTTTTAGCGGTAGGGGAAACCGGAGCACCTGGAGGAAACCTACGCAGACACGAGGAGAACATGTAAACTCCATTCAGAAAGGGACCGCTCCGACCGGGATTCAAACCCAGAGGAACAACTCTAAAAACCCAGGGGGAGAAAAGTGAGAAACCTCGGGGTAAAGGCCCACATAGAGGGTTCTCTTTCTTATCTCTTTATCAAAGAAAACACAAGAATAACAAACACAGGAGACAGAGTTCATAAGGCGGGACGACCACTGTTCAGGAATGTAAATAAAAGTGCATTAATACCCAAATGTTGTTGCCGTAGTCTGTAAATTAGGACTGGACTGACAGAGTGTGACATCACCAGTGTTAGCCTTAATGCGGAAGAAGCAGATTTGAACATAAGCTGGAGCAAATGTCCTTATAAGGGCATTTGTTCTGACAGCCGGACAACATGTTGCTAGGACGGTTGCTAAGTCAAGCTGGAGTTTCCCCCCCGATTGAAGGCCTCTGATTGGTCAATCCTTATATGGCTCAATATGAACACCAGGATCACAGAGAAAACTAAACCACAGATTTTTTAAGCCCAAAATAGTGAGTGTGACACAGTTACTGAACGAAACTTCCTTCATGAGCATTTCCCTATTGGGCTTCATTGAGGTAGTGTATGTGTTCCTATAGACTGTGTCCATCAATATGCAGTCTATGGGAACACATGGCATCTGCAAATGAAAAATGTGGAAAAGGGGTGGAGTCAAATACTTACTACTTGCACCCTTCTAGCACCCACTCTTCTTCATGTGTTTGAGATGAAAATGAATGTAGCCGTTCCTCCAGTATTCATCCATGTTTGAAGTGAATGAAGACATGGAGGTGAATAGAGCCCTCTCCTGAACCGGACGTCTGACATGTGACTGTGGGTGGATCTAAAGTAAATTGTGTATAGATCACTTGTCAAAGGAAAAATCATCCGTCAGAAATCACTGAAAGAGACCTCAGATCTGTAGAAACACTGCAGAGAGACGAGGCTGTCAGTCAGACCCGGGACTGAGGCTGTAGAACCAGGACTGAGGCTGTGTAGATCCAGGACTGAGGCTGTAGACCCAGGACTGAGGCTGTAGAACCAGGACTGAGGCTGTAGATCCAGGACTGAGGCTGTCAGTCAGACCCAGGACTGAGGCTGTAGACCCAGGACTGAGGCTGTAGACCCAGGACTGAGGCTGTAGACCCAGGACTGAGGCTGTAGACCCAGGACTGAGGCTGTAGATCCAGGACTGAGGCTGTAGACCCAGGACTGAGGCTGTCGATCCAGGACTAGATTTTGGTTTTGGGGTTAGGTCAAATGAAAAAAAAATATATATATATATTTATTCAGGCTGCAGTTTGGATTTTAGACAGAAGGGGGCGACAGTGGGTGGTGCAGGGACTGGGATATTGACTGAGAATATAATATGTTGAGGAGAATTGTTAGCATAAGTACTTTGTCGTGCTAATGTTCTGCTACTGTACGTTTATAATTCCCCCAATATCATTTCAGTGTAAGTTTTCATTTCTTTTGGTGCTTTGTGAGAAACTTCCAATACATCTTCCCAATTATTTTGAAGCTCCCTGTGTTCTCATCATTCACGAACCTCAGTGCAAACGACAGAGAGGTCGAGTAAGTGCTAAAAACCACAAGTCCAAGGACAGACCCCTGAGGCGCCCCGCTCAGAAACATCGTCATGGTTGCTCCTGGAGTTTGAGTTTTTAAGTTTCTGGTGATGTCAAAGGCTTCAGGTTTACAGTAGATCAAAGACATCCTCCCCCACGACTCAACCTTGATCTTTGCCAGTTCTGATCCTTTCGAGGGAAAATAGACGAGGAATGAATGAATTATGCATAAACTCAACTAAATGTAAAATATTAAGCATTATTTTTGGCCACTAAGAATTTTTACTTTATCTATTCATGTTTATAAATAATTAGTTCTATAATATCTGAAGTAGGCCGGATTGTGGTAGGACAGCTGCCATTGTCCGACCACAGCTGCCACTGTCCGACCACAGCTGCCACTGTCCTACCACAGCTGCCACAGTCCAACCACAGCTGCCACAGTCCTACCACAGCTGCCACTGTCCTACCACAGCTGCCACTGTCCTACCACAGCTGCCACAATCCAACCACAGCTGCCACAGTCCAACCACAGCTGCCACTGTCCAACCAAAGCTGCCACTGTCCAACCACAGCTGCCATTGTCCAACCACAGCTGCCACAGTCCTACCACTGCTGCCATTGTCCAACCACAGCTGCCACAGTCCTACCACAGCTGCCACTGTCCTACCACTGCTGCCATTGTCCTACCACTGCTGCCACTGTCCTACCACTGCTGCTATTGTCCAACCACAGCTGCCATTGTCCTACCACTGCTGCCACTGTCCAACCATGGCTGCCACTGTCCAACCACTGCTGCCACTGTCCTACCACAGCTGCCACTGTCCTACCACAGCTGCCATTGTCCTACCACTGCTGCCACTGCCCAACCACGGCTGCCACTGTCCTGCCACTGTCCTACCACAGCTGCCACTGTCCAACCACAGCTGCCATTGTCCAACCACAGCTGCCACTGTCCAACCACAGCTGCCACAGTCCTACCACAGCTGCCACTGTCCTACCACTGCTGCCACTGTCCAACCATGGCTGCCACTGTCCTACCACAGCTGCCATTGTCCAACCACAGCTGCCACTGTCCAACCACAGCTGCCACAGTCCTACCACAGCTGCCACTGTCCTACCACTGCTGCCACTGTCCAACCATGGCTGCCACTGTCCAACCATGGCTGCCACTGTCCAACCACAGCTGCCACTGTCCTACCACAGCACTCGGCTCTCACTGTATTGCACTCGGCTCTCACTGTATTGCACTCGGCTCTCACTGTATTGCACTCGGCTCTCACTGTATTGCACTCGGCTCTCACTGTATTGCACTCGGCTCTCACCATGTTGCACCATAGACTGATCGGAGGAGAGCGGCCTGTGATGCCCTGTGCAGACGTCCCTGGAGCCTCATCTGGAGCCTGTGTGTGAGAGTCCTGAGGCGGCGGATCACACAGAATATGAAGAGTTTAATGAAGACGCCTGAGGAGGTGAAACTGAGGATTTGGAATCATTAAATATTAACGTTTCAATGAATAAGTAGAAAAAACGGATTAACACATGTTTGAATAATAATCTGGAGCTGCTTTGGCTCGACTCCTAAAACAGACACTTTTCTCCTCAATGTCAAACAGGACTTTACACCCAACATGTTTCTAAACCTTAGCAACCGTCTTAGCAACACGTCTGCCCCTGTCACAACACCAAGTTAACGACGTCGGAACAAATGCCTATATTACTTTATCTACTTATTATCCGGCCCTGTATGTACAATATATAACTCTGCACTACACACACACACATATATATATATATATATACACTATATATATGTAAGGGATAATGTATAGCATACAGGTCATTATCGGAAAATAAGTACCGACAGGGCGAAGCTGACCCCGACGCGCAGGGGTCTGCTTCCGCCCTGAAGGTACTTATTTTCCGATAATGACCTGTATGCTATACATTATCCCGCTTATTATACTGCTTTGTACCAACTTAACACACAAAATAAACTTCAGATCACTTTTATGAATGCCAAAAGTTCATTTAATGACAACAAATAAAGTAGTCCCAAAAAGTTTTCCCGTTGCTCGGCAACCGCGGGCAGGCAGTGTGGCTTTGACAATTGTGGCTATGCTAGCAACATTTAGGCTGGCAACTTCCAAACTAGAACTCTCTGGAACTGCATGAAAACTGAACAAAGAATTCTGAACATCAGCGGTGAGTGACCCATACATAAACCTAACCTAAATCCATAATTTGATCCTCTGCAAATGTGTCCGAAAATGTGCCGGTATCTACTTCCGGGTTTTTCGGGATTGCCTTTTCTCGCATTACATCAGTGTTTTTGTCATGAAAACGTAAACGGAAAATTCTGAAAACTTCCGTGCACTTGTATTAAGAATGTATATGTATAATTCACTCTCCGATAAACATTTCATTGCGTTGATTGTTTGGCATTTGCGTTTATTGAGCGGCCAGAACTACTTCCGGGGTTTTCACGATCGCTTTTTGACGCAGAGAAATAGTATTTTTGTCATGAAGACAAGACCAGAAAATTCTGAAAATTTCCGTGCACGTGTGTGAAGAATGTATATGTATAAGTATTCTCCGATTAACATTTAAGTGTGTTGATTGAGCGTGGCTAGCTCAGGAGTGGCCGGAACTACTTGCGGAGTTATCCACGCATTTGAAAGACAAGCAGAGAGAGCGTTGCCAAAGGGCAGCGGTCATTATTGTTTTGAGAGGTCCGTTATAGAAAATAATGACCGGTAGAACGTTTTGAAATTACATTCAAATCAATGGAGCGTTCTCCTGCTGCTGTGAGGAGCCGTATAATAAAAAAATAAAAATATATATATATATATATTTTTTTTGTTTTTGTTTTTTTTGTTTTTTTTTTTGTTGAAAGAGTGGTATTGAAGCATTTACAGCATGTACAGCTAGTTAAAGATGCAGTCAGTGATTTTTTCCGAACACATTTTGTTAAATATTGCGGGAAAACGTCCATAAACCCTCAAAGTATTTATTTATTTATTTATTTATTGTTTGTTCACAAACATAAGTTGAATCCACATCTTTTACATAAACATTTAGGTTTGTGAAGGGACTCCCATGAAGCACAATTGGCTTATATGTAGGGGCCCCAATAACATTTACATGAAAAAAAAAAACAGGACAACAAAAAAGACATCCTACTACTACTACTACACTGTCCGCTTCAACACACTCACATCAGTTCTGCAAGAACATGGTACAGGAAATAAAATTAAAACCTTAAGTAAATGCGTTGGTGCTCATTCGTTCAGTTCTTACAGGGGCAAGACCAAAATAAAACAAAATAGTAAGATGGTTGTCAGCTATAGTATCAAGTAATCATATGTTTTCAAATAGTAATGGAATTGACCAGATGCCTATAGTCTAATTAAATCAAGAAAACATATTTTGGAGCGGATCGATAAAAATGAACCAATGGGATTCGTTCATCCCCAACTTCACCCTCTTCCTGTTTCTCGCGAGTGCACCGGAGTTATCGAATTTTCTAAAATCTAAAATGGCTGAACAGAAAATGGCAATTTCACGTTTGCTCCACTCTCCCTGTTGTGACAAAGAAAAGAAACTGCTGGATGTTTGGCGATCCAAGATGGCGCCCTATTCAAATGAATGGTTGTGCTCAGTGGCGCTTTGTGACAGCATGGGGGCTGAAAGATTAGTAGAAGTCGCCTGGAACTCTCAAAGATCTATGGGAAACTCTCAAAGATCTATGGGAAACTCGCCTGTATTTGGGCATCGTCTGGTCCTCCCGGTTCTGTGCAGTGGATGATCTCCCATAATGCTTTGCGTCAAACACACGTGTGTGGGTCTCACACCGGGTCTCACGCACGTGCACAGAGGGGCTCGGCTGCGCTCTGACCAATCAGAGCAGTTCATCAGAGCGGGAGTTAGAGCGAGAGCTAGACGAGCAGAGTTTGTGGCACTAAAGTGTGGATTTAAACAAAACCGAAGGATTTAAGAAGAAAAAAGTTCAGGATGACAAGGGACACTAAAATCCCCACAATATCCGACCTTTATTAAAGCTGTAGGTTCTCTGTCAGGTTCTGTGTCAGGTTTTCTGTCAGCTCAGGTCGTGCTGTTTTAGTTTACATTGAGTTCTAAGGGGAAAATTTCTGGATAGCCCTCGTGAATTTAGTCTGGTTTAGTCTGCAGTACCGCGAGAATCCCCCGAGCACATGGGTTCTTCAGCTCCAAGCTAGTAATACCCTATCCAGTTATTATAATAGATCCATGGCCTCACATCAGTTCCATAAAACAACACAATAAAAGCCAAACAAGCTGTCAGTCGCTGTGTTTATCTAAAACTAAAACCTTTTACCTTCTATTATTTCAGAGATAAACCTCGGTCCTCCCTCAGAGGCAATAAAAATATATGAGCAGTGAACAAGTGACAGTTTGACAGCGAGAAGCAGCGAGAAACGTGTGACAGCGAGATAACAGTCACAGAGAGAGCAGCAGCACTATCCAGACAGGACTCTTTAAAGCTCAGGTACCTGACTTTCAAACCACTGTGATGACAAACACATCTCAGTGCAGCAGTAGCAGTAGTAGTAGCAGCAGTAGCAGTAGTAGTAGCAGCAGTAGTAGTAACAGTAGCAGTAGCAGCAGTAGTAGCAGTAGCAGTAGTAGTAGCAGTAGCAGCAGTAGTAGCAGTAGCAGCAGTAGTAGTGTGGTGACAGTTTTTGGAGTAATTACATTAAAACCAGCCGCAGCAAATACACGGACGTCAAAGGCCTTTTACCAATGCAGACAACCTTCTGACGCCATGCTGAGCTTTGTGAAGGTCCCTGCTGTCTGTCACACCCCTGTGTCTTTCCGTCTTGCATCTGTATGACCTGCACTTCCACCATTGTCTGTCTGTTCACACCCCATGCCACTGCCACCACAGGGGATGGCGCCGGCGCTTCCTGTGCGCCTCCTCACCGGTGGCCCCCTCCGCTCCGTTGTGGGCGTGACTATCTTTGGTGTGTGTTTTGTATACAGGAAGCTGGGGGCTCTGGCCCCCAGAGCTGGGACATGCTGCTTTTGAGTGGATGTGCTGGCCCTCCGCACTGTGCGTTAACAATAAACTTACGCTTTTGATCAGACAAAGGACCTTTGAGTTTCCTCCTTCATGGGGTATATATTTCTATAACAATTTGGCGTTGCTGGCATGTCTTGGCATGGGATACTTTCGGCGGGACGAGCGGCTTTGTTTGGCCGACCTGGATCACCAGCCTCTGTTCCTTTTTGGAGACAAGGGAGAGCGCGCTCGTCCACGCACGGAAGGAATCCTTTTGCCACACACAGACCAAAAAGAACCTAATCTGGTGAGTCTTGTCTTTTCATCTGCGTAACGAGCCCAGGGCAGCACTTAAGTGTACACGGGGATTTGTTTATTTATGTATTTTTGGGGTATTTCATTCATTGCCACAGCATAGTCTGTGTGCGGGATTTTTTGGGGGGCTTTTTGTTCTAGATTGAAAACTAGCGGCTGCGCGTTAGTATCGTCCTGTAGGCGACCCTGAAAATTTCTCCAAGTGTCTTCAGCCAGAACCGCTCCATTTCAAGAACGCGCGCTCGCTGGTTGAACCAGCGAGGGGGGAATGGAGCGCCCCAAAGTGGGTAGGAGCAGGGAGAGACTAAGCGGGTTAGGCCCATTGTTCGTACGAGAAAATGGGTAAAAAACAATCTAGAAGACGCAAGCTATGGAGTGCTTGCCTATGGTGCAGGCCATTACGCATCTTGCGTGATAATTTAGAAGAAGAAGGGAAGAAAAAATATACTTGGTTTTAAGAATATCACGGCAAAAGAGGTTAGAGAAAGAAATATGTAAAAACAATAGCTCCTCCGCCTTTCACCGAAGCGGAGAACACAGAGGCGGACACACACACACACATCCCCCACACCCCCACCCTACCCCTACTAACAATAAGTGTGCACCCAAACGAGGCGTTGGGTTTTTAAAAAATGAGCAGACTACTTTTGTCCCTCTTCCTCTCCCTATCCAGGTCTGTCGGCGCTTTTCCTCCGCGCTCTGTCCTCTGCCTCAAAGCACCAGCCCCACGCCCCAACCACAGGCGGCGCCCGCACCAGCTGAGACCCCGCGAGAAGTGGGCCCAAACCGCAGAAGAAGAAGAGGCGGAAACAGACACACGCTCAGGAAACCACAGAAGAAGAAACGGGGGAAGCAAATATGTGAGACACCGACAACTGCTTTGGAGCACAGAGAGAAACTGCTCCAAATCCCGTGACTGTTCTCCACGGAGGGGGCAGCGTGATATACCAAACGCACCCGCGGAAACCCCTTGAAAGTTGTTCCCGCACCGCAAACAGAAGAAGCCATTGTGACCGGCACGTTTGGGTCATTCACCAACCCTCATGGACCACATGCT